ATATATATATATATATATATATATATATATATATATATATATATATATATATATATATATATATATATATATATATATATATATGTAATCATCAACAAGTTATTTAGAAATTCAAAGATGGCTTTGAATTTAACTCATATTTCCAGTTTAACGTAAGAATAGTTAAAACGATAATCAGAAGCAAAATGATAGTCAGAAGAAACGATAATCAGAAGCAAAGCCAGATCAATTTAAATTTTTCGAAAGTACTTCTGATATTTGAAAAATACTGGGAAACAACTGTACCTCCGGCTACTTTTAAAAGCAGTTTTACACCAGAGTAAAAATTCTCCTGCACAGCAACCATCAGTGCTGTATGTCTCTTCGTATCGACAGCAAAAATATCTGCCCCTAAATTGATTAATCGTCGCATCATGACCTAAAAAACACCAATAGAATCCCTTCAAATGCTTTGTAATGCTAATGGTTTGATTCCAAAACCTTACTTCTCTTCTGCATCCTAATCACACCTTTAATGTCTATACTTTTTTAATTTTCATTTCAAGCATTCAAAGAAATTAAACAAATTAAAAAAATGCTCCCGTGATGCATTATGTCTCGAATGTACAGTAAGTAATGCACAAATCCGTGTATTCTGATAAGAAAAACAGCGTACCAAATCCTTAGTATCTGCAGATTCGTGCAGAGCCGACCATCCGTCATACCATACGTCTAATGGACTGGCACCTCTGTCAATTAATAACAAAGCCAAAGCAGTATTTTTAGATTTAATAGCTTGAATCAATGGAGTCATTTCGTCCAGAGTTCGACTATTTGGATTTGCTCCCTATAAAAAGACGATTCCCGATGTTTTCTAACAAAAGTTTCCGATTATTCTCCTTGACGAATAAAAAATGGAATGAAAAACTCTAGACAGATTAATTTTTGCTCGTTTCGAAGCATCTGAGGCATTAAATTTTCAATTAAATGAAGTTGATTTTTTTAATAACAATAAGTTGCAAGTCTTAAAACTTTAAGATATGAGTGATTCGCTTCAAATATATTACATACCAGAAGTAGAAATGTTAACAAACATACGTTATCAAGAAGATATCGCGCCACTTCCAGAGCTTCATCATGTCTCCACGACATGCGGCAAACCAGCATCAGTGGTGTAACAGAATCGTGAGCTTGAGCATTTACATCACAACGTCCTTGAAAAAATAATCAAATGACAAATTAAATAAAATTGAAGAAGTTTGAATTTTGCGTTTAGGATTTGATCGAGAGCCTTTTTTCTTCGATTCAGCGTTGCGCACAATAGCATAAAGACGATTAATGTAGTTAGTGCGCAACGCCCTGCGGTTAAAAACAGGTAAGAAAAAGGGGAAGTAAAATACCAACTGGGTTTTTGGAGATAAAACAACTGCTCTAACGAAACAACCATTGCCTACCTTTTACTTTAACAAATTATCATACGTTTCGCACATTTGGGAACAATCAACAGCTCATATAAGGCAGTCAAATAATTAGATTGCCACAGAACAATACAAAGCAAAAACCATTGATATCCTTTCAAATCAAATAGGATCAGTAGGACAACAGAAAACAAATTATGCGAGCTTGTATACTTGGTTACTTGATTCAAGCCATCTTAATCCTTTCCTACAGAAATGAAAACACTGAATTGCTCGCTACAATAAGAGGCAGAAAACTGTCGGGAGTTGACATATATTATTGCCTTGCTTTTACAATTTTTTTTATAATGTTTTACAACATTCTTACAATTTAAAAAGCAAAAAAGAATATCTCACCACTCTCAACAAGCACTTTACAACATTCCAAATGCAATCCGTAAGCAGCTTCATGAATTGGCCACCAGGAACGATCATCTGGAAACGCTCCATAACCAGCATATAGTAATTGTCGTGTCAACTCGACATTACCCAAACGACAAGCAACTCCAACCGTTACGTTGCTTTCTACCACAATCGATTCCTCCTCAAATTCTCCAACACTGCTAGTGGTCCAATCTGATCTCGTCTAAAAAACCATAACTATGTAAAATATATTACAGAAAATTTCAGCAAAATACTGATTCATATCTGTGCAAATGATCAACCTGGAAATCATATGAGTTAAGCATAAATCCTTGCAAACTGCTACAAAAAAAATGACCTGTTTTCCTCTTTAGGTAAATGTTAATGCAACATGAAGCACAACACTAGTTTCACTTTTGAACGCACCTGTAAACGTAAAACATGCCGTTACTATGCATCACCTATATAATGCAGAATTCATCATAGTACCGTCTTTATTTGTACTTTTCCGAAAAGATGATGAAAATTAAGTGGGTAAATGAATCTGCAAGATTTTTGCTTAAAATATGTCTTGCCATTCATTATTGGATACCTTTTACGCCATGTCAACTAATTTTTTTAATCGTGAAATGAGAATCAAACTTAAGAGGTCATTAGTAAAAATCGGAAAAAACAATGTTCAAAAATAAAGACATGAAGTGATGTTTTCGTCTTTTCGTCACTCCGTAAGTTATATTACATTCATGCATCATATACTACATTCCGTAGAACAATGCATTTCAAATCATTTCAATGACTTATATTTTATCGAAATTTTCAATTTTCCTTTCAATCATTTCAATGACTTATATTTTACCGAAATTTCCAATTTTTTTTCAATCATTTCAATCATTTCCATGACTTATATTTTATCGAAAATATAACTTACCCGCTTCATTAGCAAGCATATTTCAAGGTAGTCAAGAAATAAACTGATTCTGTAAATCCAGTATTCTCGCTCCCGAGAAAACACAGAAAGTACACAGAAAAATACCACGAGATTTCCCTCAATGAACCAAATTTTCACTGAACTTCGTCATACCTCCAAGATCATTTCGATGTCATTCCGCGATTTCTCCTTCTGTCTGTCTTACCTATGATGTGCTGAAATGTTTCTCTCCCATCTTTCTTCACCGTACTTTCCCACTCCGTAGTCCTGTTATCTCAGTTAAAATAACAGCCAATCCATCTCATTCCGAATCATTCGGTGGGCCACATCAATTTCCCCTCATATGGCCCACCGAATTATTCGGGATCTCGCAGCAACTACCATACAATAACCTAATTCAAAATCGAGTAGTCTATCAAGGTATTTTCGCTGCATAATTCATACCTTTGTTATCATAGTACTGTTTAATTTTTGCATGTTGCACTCCTTTATTAGCTCACTGATCGTTACTCCATCGATGTACAGATTATATCCTTCTCAACGGATACTCTCTTCCACATTCCTTTGTCGCGGAGGAGAAGCTTGCATGTCTTAACGAGATCACAAGCTATGCTGGCGATGACTTATGCCTTCAGTTGAGACTCTCATACCAGATGAGTCTCAATTGAATGGTCAGATAAAGTGTGTCCACGGGCAAGATAGTCGTCTCGCTAGCCTCCCGATAACCATGCCTAACCCCAGACTCGGGCAGATGGAGCTTGCTTAATCCCATAAAGCCATACCTGTTTAAGAGAAGGGTACTGTAACAAACCTCCGTCCTGAGGACTTCACCATCACCATTCTAGCTTGTTAGGCTCTGGCAGATGAATCTTAAGAGTAATGGATGAGGCCAGCGCCGCACATGCTGCGCCTTATCTAAAAAAAAAGCCACTGCGCAGGCTGGCAGGATATACCCACATTTTACAATGAGCTTAGATCGAATCCTCCCCAAATCTTCGTTTGCGGAACTTGGTATGACAATAAATTATGTTATCAAATTCAGTAGTATTTTGTAGTTGCCAATGAAATTGCTTTAAATTTCTGAAACCATTCCTTTCAACTTTTTCAAAATAGTGCAAACGATTGAAGGAGTTTACGTTAATGTATATTTAAACGTTTATATTTATGTTATAAAATTTTATTAAATCATTTTTGATAGCTTGGTATGATTGCCAAGATTGAGGTGCTTCTTTTTGTTTGATAAATGCAAGGACCGAAAGACGAAACAACAACTTCGAATTGAAAAAAATTTAAACTTTGTTTCTTTTCCTTTTTTTTGGATAAAACTAAACAGTTAATGCTTCGACCAACCCGAACTTAATAATCACTGCTGTTTTTGGCATTTTCGTCAAAAAAAAAAAAAATTGTCAATTGTTGTTCATGAAGGACTGTATGATTAGTACGAAAACTATTTTCATTTCACCAGAATTATTGACCTGAGAAAGCTGATGATGATGGCAATTGATCGACTCAAATGACAAACGAGGCTTTAATTAAATGGCCTCACGAATCATTGGTATTTAGGGATGAGAGTAATTCGTTCTCCTGGTTTTGTTTTCTTCCTTATTACATTTGATTTTTACAATCTTTTCCTTTAAAGGATATTTCCAGTTTCAGGGTTTCGTAAAATTCCTCATTTTCTTTTTTTTTGCTATCCAAAGATGATTTATTGATCATGTTCTGATATTAATCGAAAGATTGAGGGCCATGTTAGAGTTCGGACTGTGGGATTCGATTGATTTTTGAAATAAGCTGTAATTGATTAGCAAAACAGATCAAACGGATCAGGGAAACAAAAAGGAATAAGTATTAAAAAGCCCGGTACTATTTTATTATATCTCCGTTTGTCGTTGCTTAGATTGGCTTTAAAAAGTGCTAATGACAAATTCAGTAAAATATCGAGTATACTGGGAGTGATGAGATTTTATCTCATCAATTTCGACAAAATATTATTGATGGAAACTTCTCAAGCTACATTTTTAAAGAAAAGAATTCATCCTTAATCAGTAACAATCAATTTTATCAATAATTTCGGCGGTGATTTTTGAATTTTTCTCAAATCATTAATTTTTGAAGAAATTCACAAAACTCTGTGCAATCTCTTAGGCCAATATGCAACCCGCCCAAATGTAATTTCTTCTTTTAATATTAAAGGCTAAGTGCTCGTAGGAAAATACACAAATATTGATTAAAAGCAGAATATAACGGCTACTGATGTTTGAAATGCGATCACTTTCTTCACAACAATCTAAAATGGATGATTGTATAATTGTGAAAATTTACTGTATCACATATGCTATTATGTGGTTTTGAAAATGTTTCTAAGAAATGACATTACAATTCGATGATCCTTCTTGTCAAAAATAAAAATACAGAATGTATATTACCACTCCGATGAATACAATATTGTCTAAACATAATTTGCTTCAGTAAATCTGGACATCCAGTGATACCTTGATTTGAAATTTATGTCCAAAAATGGCACAAGCTTCAAAGCAAAGCATCCATTTTCATGTCTTTTTTCCTTGATTTCTACACCTACAAATAGACGAACTTGAAGAGAATTAAATAAAACAATGTAAAACTATGAAATCATAAAATCCATTTCTAATAAACGTGCAGTACGTAAACAAAAAACATTACGAGTATGTAAAAAATGAACACGTTTCTGCAGAGCTATGAAATGAACTACTAGGAGAAAAAAAAATCATATGATAATGATTAGCAGTAGTCAACAATCATATACAATGACTAGCAGTAGTAAACAATCATACGACAATTAGCAGTAGTAAACAATCATATATGATAATGATTAGCATTAGCAGTAGATGCGTGGAACTTTTTAAAGTTCCTATATTTTTCGTGGGGAAAAAAAACTACAGGACTTGGAAACAGTCATCTTTTACCGTGAAATGTGGTGAGATTTTATTATAAACGACGCTACTTAGTTGAGAATTTAATTCTTCAATTAGCTTGCTAACTTTATAGTAATGATTCAAAAGTACTTGATGTAGAATTGATTTCTATTACACGTAACGCTTATATGGCTAATGACACTTTGCTATTTCTTGAAATCTGTAGTTTACAATATTAACAACAAATGTGCACAAAACACTAGTGTGAACAAAAAAATCAAGAATGGCAAATCAAATAAATTTCCTGCGACACTTTCCCAAAAACAAAATCCTACTAATAAATTAAGAACTAATTAATACCCAATCATAAGACGTTACCATTATTTATAGTTCCCTTAAGCATAAAACTATTATATTAATACTTGGAAAATGATGCGAAAAATATTGAGTACTACTAATTCTTTAACTTGAAGTTAAGTATCAAAATTATGTAGCCATAATACAAACATTCAAAAAATGAGTGGCATAAGTGTTGACTTTGCTATTTAAATGTGTAAAATGATAGATACAATTTCAGTATTACTTTTCAAATTAATAACTTTAACCCTGCATCATCTACAGTAGTATGTCAAAATGCAAGAATAAAAATTTAGATTCATACAATTCAAACAAATTGTTAGTTGGATAAATCAAAACGAAGATAAATCACCACTTTGAACCCAAAGATAAATTTCATCACAACAAGTAACGATATATCATTTCTTCAATGAACCACTCATATCTTAGGAATTAATCGGTTTTCATTCAATCAAATGAAAGAATAGTAAGGTAAGAATTTAGGTCTTAATTTCTGATTCATTTCTGCGTACGTATAACTTGTGTAAATATCATCTGTCAGATGATTGAGTAAATGATCTACATCACGTAACACGTAAATGCAATGACTGGATAATCTATAATATCATTTACCACGTGAATGAAATGACTGTTCTACATCATGTATCACGTGAACAGAATGACTAGACGATTTACGTCATTTATCATGTAACTGGAACAAGTGGATAATCTACAGCACTACTTATAAATAAAATGACTGATCTGCAATATCACATATCAAGTAAAAAAAATGACTGAATGATCAACATATCACGTGAATGGAATGACTGATCTATACCACGTATCACGTGATTGGAACGACTGGATGATCGCGAGGCTTGAGTTATTAATAGTTAACGGAGACAATACGGATTAATCGGCTTCATACCTTGCTGAATAAATTTGTCAATTTTTGGACTTCAGAACTTTAACGGCTTATAAGGGTAATTTCAAATAAAACCACTGTGCAAATTACTCCACATAATCCACGTTCCTTATACTGACTACCAACACGTCACAAAAATCAACTTCACGTAAACCACATTTCCTGTTTTCCGTTTACGGTTACAAATATATCCTCTCGGGTTCAACTTTCATCATCATTTTGAAGCAAATACGTTGCAAGAGATAATCTAACATTACGCACGTCCCACGTTCTTTATTCGACAAAAAAGGAAGAGAGAACAAAAGGAAGATTTTCCTAGAAGATGGAGGCGGGGAAGAGAATGGATACTGTACCACTGTTTCTCTTTTAATCTTTATGTATTCACCAATCTACCGTAACTTTTCCGCTTTCTTTCCTTTGTCAAAGTGCTACAAATTGTTCGAAATGCTCGTCCCTTCCTTGTGCCATTCTGTGACCCAACCATGTGAACAAAGAGCGGGAAAGCGGTCGGGGTCATCCAAACAATGATCAAATTTCTTGATGAGCTTTGTCAGGGATATCATACAATATAACTCGTCTATCTTGAACAGTGATAACCGGAATAGCCCTGCGTTGTGCTACCAATTTTTGGCTAGCAATACTTAGAGACGACGAATACGAGTTAAACAAAAATAAAGAAGATCAGCCAAGTCAAAGTATCCCAAGAAAAACCGGGAATTCCGTTCTAACTCTTCCTACAACTGTTCATTGATCCATTGTTTACCTGATAATTATGTGACTCCGGGAAGGTTGCATGAGGCTATGTTTCCGCGTTAAATTAACGTCGCATTCTCCATGGGGAACGTATGAGTTTCTGAATGCATGTAATGTTTGTTTTGTCTTTGGAGAACTCGCAATGAAGATGTTTCGCGGGTTATAAGGGAGTGCAGGTAACTGTTCCGCGGACTGTCGGGCCAAAGTTTCTGGAAATTTTTGGAAGTTTATCGAGTACTTAGTGTATTAATCAATCTCTCTATTGTTCTCCCTTAGTCCTTCCCCAATTTCTGTGATTGGAGATTTGCCGTTCTCAAGGAATGTTCCATGCATTGCGGTATCACTATTACTCAGAGACCTATTTGTGTAACTTCTTTTTACGCCTATGAGTATCCAGTTATTCTCCCTAGTTGAAGTCAACGGGTGTCAAATTATTTCAAGTTGAGATTTCTTGTTCTACGCGATACTTAAGGATGTTTGGATGGGAAACTTCAAGCGTACGTAGGAAGAACTATAACTCAAACTACTATTTCACATAGATAAATGCCTTGGTGATGAACGTCGTGTTTAAATGGATAGGGAATTTCGACGTAAGCGGATTTCAATCATAACAAAATCTGAATGCCACTTATTTATTTCCTTGAATATATTTCTTGTTTCTAGTTCTAACGACCGTACTACTAATCTACAATGCTGTCAACGGTTGGCCCTCAAAGGGCCGTGGCACCATTACATACCAAAGAACAAGTAACATCACCGGTTTTCAACCAAAAACCGATTGAACCTACTGTTCCGGCGCAATTACGCCAATTGCTTAAGCGATATTATAGTCTTGAGAAGGATGCCGATATGCACATTTTACCTAGTAATCCCAACAAGTTAGTTTCTTTTTGTCTTTGACTATCTCTCTCTTTTTTTGTATTTCTCGTTTTCTCCCGTGTCCCCTTATGTTTGGCGTATAATATATTTATACTGCGATGGAAGCTTAACACATAATGATGGTTTAAAGCGATAATTTGGTGACAAATTTTTGAGGAATAGAATTGCGCTTCTTTTTAAATCTCATTTTTCTTTTTGTTAAAGACTTCCACAGCGTCAAGTATTGGGTGTGTAACTGTTGCATCAGTGATATATGTATTGTTAGGTGAACTCTGGTTCAACGACGTTTTTCTTTTCCCCAGCTAATGTTCGGCTTGTCTAGAATTATTAGGTAGATATCGGTTTATTCGTTTTCCTATGTGATGAGCGATGATTCTTACATATAATTGACGTTTGGTATAGGAACTGAATGGAATAATTATAAAAAGTATTTTTGCATCGTAATGAATGGTGCAACTTCAAGTGGTAAGCATTACATTCATGTTTTAGGCGTTTTGTCGTGTATCGAGGACAATTAAGAACGATCGATTTATCTGCCTGGCAAACAATTCAGCAGGACAGTATTCCTCCGGTAATAGTTCTCCATGTATTTGATTGCTAATGAGTCTGCAACCAGAATCCTAGTTTATCCCTATGTATGGTTTTACGCGAAGCAAATGCCAAGACTTTTTTTTTGCATTAGTCTACGAAGATTCATACAGGCTTTTTTACATGTAACCTTGCGTAGCTATGGCGATACTCGAAATTACTACATTTCACTGAAATCAGCTCTATAATTCCTAGCTGTTCCCCAAATTGTGCTTTTGGACTTCCTGTTTTTGCTACATACCTTGGTTCACCTGTCCGTTTCAATAAATTGGTTAAGTTCATGTTTGTTTTCTTGTTTGACTTTTCCTGTTATAGCAGTTTAGCAGTAATGGTTTGAAAGCAAGTCCTAATTCACCTTTGGAAGATTTAGGAGCGGATGGACGAGTAGCTCCACCTGTGACACCAGTGACACCACTTCGAACACCCTCGACGATAGCTGTATGCATGTTTTTCACCTATTGTTTCAGTTATGATGCTCGTGGTTATTTGGACTTTTAGAAGTTAATCCACTTCAAATCTGAACAGTTTGTTGTCTCTCCCTGCATTACTACACCATATACTATGTCTAACAGAACAAAATTCATCCTTGACTTTGCTACCCAATGAATCGTATTCTTAAGATGAGAATTACTTGAAGGCTTGGAGCACAAGGATCTCAATATTACTGATTTGAATAAGTATGTCCTTTTAATGTGCTTAATTTAGCGTCATGCATATGAATCGGAACGGAATAAGCTTTCGGATAAAGAACGAGAATTCTTGCAAAAAGGTAAGTTCAATACATATTAAGTTGATGCTTTAGACTTGTACCCTCTTTTCATCAATTTTCAGAACGTCGTCGGAGCAATGCATATAAAACTTCGCTCTGTCATGCGTTCCGAGATACTGGACAGTGTTCATACGGTCTTCTGTGTCGATTTGCACATGGCGTGGGCGAACTACTTCCTGCACCAGGGGTAAATTTCCCATATAAATGTACTGAGGTTTCATTTTAGGATTTCTTCTCCCTCCCTTTCTCACTCTTCGTTAAATTTCTTTTTTAATTTTTACTACAAAACTGCGTCTGAATACTTTCTTCGACAGTAGTTCATCGGACAACATCTGCCCTTTTCAGCCACATCCCAAATATAAAACGCGGTTATGCAACAAGTTTGCTTTGTATCACTCATGTCCATATGGCAGCCGTTGTCAGTTTATTCATATGCCTTCGTCTAGAGTGCAAAATGATTTGGTAGGTTCGGTTTGTTGGTGACTGAAATACTCAATTGTTTGCATTGTCAAAAGTGTCCGCTCATTCATAGCTGCAATTTTAGTACTGATATGACCATATACGTAGGGAGCAGTCGTATTTCCGCTTACAGAAGAGGTTTGCAAATATAACTCTCAAAGATATGCTGATTTATTGGTTGATTAGGCCATTAGTGGTAAATATTTGCTTAGTTTTCTGAAAAATTTTTGTAAAGGAATCTATCTCTGGGAGTTCTAGCTCATTCGTTTTTGGAGTGCATAGTCCATATAATATACTTAGCTATTCATGTGTTTGAAGGGATTTCGAAGCTGTGGACAATTTCAGATACATATGGATTTCACGGCAAGTCTTGACAGTGCTGGTAAGCGTGCATTACACTGTCGGCATTATTCAGGAGGGGCAAGACTAAGGTTATTAGTCTGTAATCGTAGTAAGTAAATGTTTTCATACTAGAAAGGACAATAATCCTTGGCGATTTCAGTGGTTAAAAGTCGTTTAGCAGCTTTAGAAATAAATGAACATGAAAATATAAAACGAGTCCAATTGGGATATTATTCCTAGAGCAGATGGCTACGATACTATAGTGTCCAGAACAAGATATCGTTACTGTTGGAGTTTCTGTGAACCTCTAACAATTTCTCTGTGAAATCTAAATTTTGGACTTACGACTTTTTAATCCAGAAGTTGTAGTCGATCGCACTGGGAATCTTGATGGGTTTCAGATTTTGTTCAAGGAATGCACGTGTTTTCAATGTAGCAGGGTTTGATGGCTGTGATTCATTTTCGCAGCAGTGTTTTGGTTCCGGTAGCAATTTGCAGGCCACTGAAATGTCACATAATTGTAACTCAGAGGCTGTTCAGGTTTTCATTTTCAAGCATATGTCCGCAGTCATCGTAATACGTTAATGTGGGTGGTACTTACATAATTTGCCTGTTGTTTCCAACGCTTGTCAGACTAAGCTCCTTTGTAACATTATAACGGTTTTAATGAAGTTAGAAAATATCCATTTCCTTGTAATTTGAATTTTCGAAATCTCACTTTTATTATGAAATGGCTATAGCTAAGCAATATCGGCGCATAATTTGGGACCCACATCCATCTTTCAAGAAAACTAGAAATTCAGTGTTTATGTTGGCAGTTTCTGAATCAATGTATGGATCAAATAGAACAGTTTAATGACTGCATCATAACTTTCAATGACATTACACTTGCATGGTTCAGCATAATCCAAAAAGAGTGAGTCATTACTCACTCTTTTTGGATTATGCTGAATTGCTGATAAGTCCGAAGAGTTTTTTGCTTATTGAATTTCAGACTTTTTGCCATCAACATTCACCGAATGCAGGCGCAACAAGCAATGCAAGCGAAAATTTCGAAAGAATATTGGGTGTTCGATCAATAGATGGTTCGAATGAAATGAACTCTGATAGTACTGCGATAGATAACTTCTTCAGTACTTTGTAAGTTTGAATTAGAAAATCTAGGCGTTCATTTTCAAATTCTCGATTTTCCGATTTTTGATCTTTTCAGTAACCATTGTTATGTCCCTGGTTTACAGTGATTGGTTTGCGGTGTTCTGACACAGATAATTGCTTCGAACTTGACTAACCTTGTATCAAGTTTTTGAATTTATTTGCAGAAGTATTGGTGAGCCTAGTAATCCATTCACGCAATCGTGTTTTCCACGAATAAATCCAGAGAGCTGCGCTGGGGAAGGTGCGACCGTTGGCCATGCGAATAGCGTCGATATGCCATCCTGTGTTCCGTGAAATTCTTCAAGAATGTAGTTTATCAGTATTTTTTCCGCAGATCCCATTTACTTTTTACTACTTGTTGCAAATCATGTTTAATATCTCCTGGAAATGTGCAGATTCTTGTCTAGCGATTTCCTCATTGAATGTCCAAAAATTATTCGAGTTTTGGCACCTGTTGAAACATTGCATAATTTATCGTGATGCATTCGGACACTATGTATTTGTTCGTTTGTAAATACTGATTATCTTGTCACATATTATTGTTTTACTTTTGCCTTTCTGTATGTGTGAGCAGTTAATTTTTTGTATCTCAGTAATGTGCAGTGGTTTGATTTTTCGTTATTGTCTACATATATGTTGTAAATTTCGGGGTTACATTTGTACATTTTCACTCCCGATCCATTTCAATATGATATCCATATCATCCTCTTCATGTGATATTTATACAATTTTTACTTTCGATCCATTTCAGTATGATATTCGTTGGTCTGTGTATATCATTACTTATTTCATAATAGTCCATGGGACGCATCATTTTATATTTCTATGTTTTACTTTTCTTTATGTATGTATTTTTGTTTATTTTTCTGGCTTGGGATGTAGAACTTAGGATTTTGTTATTTTTCGGAGCGTATAGGTAAGTGTTTGAGAGGATGGAATTATTGGTATTTGAAATTCGAACGATAGATATGAACTCAAAGGGCTAAGGATTGACTGGAGTTTGTGAGAATTTAGACGAGAAATAAGAAAAGAAATTTTGGACCAATCTTCCACTTTCAAAATTCAATGAGAACTGTTCGAACCGTTCCTCGAACTGTTCGTTATTTTCATGCTGAAGTGATTAGAGGAGGATGTCAAGTGATTGATAGCTAATAACGTTACCGAATTTCTTCTGCTTATTCCTTCAGCATAAGATAGGTACTATTTGCTTATTCATTTCTTTTGTTATTGCTTCTTTATGCACTACCATTTGTCTTTTTTTTTATGAAAATTTGTGATATTATCGTTTTAATGGTTTCATTATCGTTGAATTCCATGCCTTTTTTTGTTTTCTTTTGCGTTTCGACATTGGAAATTCATCCACTTTAATTAAAATTCTGGACTTTGTTATTTATGATTTTACCACATGAGAAATCGTTAGTTACAAAAGAATTTTCAATGATGTGTTTACATTGATAATACGCTTCCGGTCAATAATATTTTGACTTAAGGATTAACTGATCCTAAAAGTACGGTAGTTCTATTACTTGTTGATGTGTGTGTTGATCGAATAGTGTTGGTGTAGTTTTGGGTCCAAAGTTGCGGCTGATGATATTTGGCTGAAGATTTTAGGGTGGGATCTACGAATCCATCTTTGATTAAAGATTTCATAGATGAGATGAAACATTCTACACGAAGTTTCAGAGACAAATGAGGAAGGTAGGTCGAATGCCGTTTGTTGACTCTTGCAGCGAAGTTATCTGGCGATATCGAGGCTGTTCATTCCCTAACACTGGTGATCTTGAGGTGTCACTGGTACTTCGGTAGTCTGGTGACAGCAAATTTGATTGGCACTTAGGCATGAATAAAATGTGACGTTACGAGTCATGAAAACTCTTAGTTACATATTCGTCAGCTTGTCAGACATTCGTCTTCATGATACTCATTTCAGGGATCGCTTCCAACTCTAATTTTCCTACTCATTCTTAAGATGTCAGGTTTAACTGCGTTCAGCTATGCGCTATTGGTGAGCTAAACAATTATAACTTCAACTTGACATACATCAAAGGAAATCGCGTCTCGCTACTTCACTACAATGATTAGTTTTGATTGTTTGCAATAATTTTCGTGGATTTACAATGCTCTCACATACCGTAACCATCGCTGTTTCTTTGTGTCATATTCCTCTCAGTAAAAGGATCCGCCATCGTAAATCATACGTTTTTTGTTGATGGGAAGGAGGAGGAGGAAATGATACAAATCCTTGGCTCTGTCTCACTATTGTTAGTTTTCTAGTGATTACTGCATGCTTGGTCGGACTTCAGTTCGTCTCTACAATATGGTATTCAGGTTGTGTTAGTATGTGACAATATAATAGATAGGGTACTGTAGCAGGCATTAGTTAAATGTCGCTCCTCCTATTTCATTAAGCGTCGACTAATTATCTGTGGATGAACTTAATTGAGTTGGCCGGTCGACATAATACCAAGAAGGTGTATTCGTCATTGAGATCATTGATAAGCATTATTCAAGGTCCAAATGTGGTGTTGCCGTATAATGCTATATAGTAAGGTTTAAATTCGGAATAAGTTATATGTGCATGTTAGCCTGGTTAGTTTCTCCTCTTTGGTAGTATTTATTTGCACCACCACTGATTATTACCACCAATCATTGTATTAAACACAAATTTCTATGTAAATTCCCATTTGAAGGTTAAGAAAGGTGAAGATTTTTGGATTTAGATTTAGAGAAACGCAGAAAGTGGATTTATTAACTACTTTGGTAAGAAACGACGGAATGACAGTGATTTTTTGAGATGCGATGGCGGTTGTTGTGGTTATTGCGATAGTGTGTCTGTCTAATTCTACAAAAAGATATAAATGAGTGTTTTTCCAGAGTTTTGTGAATTCTTTATAAGCTATTGACCGGGAACGTTGTGTATACTAACTTCAACTAATTTCTTATTGGTAATACGGAAACTTGAATTATAATGCTAGTATGGATAGGAAAAACAAAAGGGGTTCGTTAATGATATAATATCAGTGGGAACAATTTGCATTCTTGATATTTACATTGCTGGATGTTTCTTTTATCAGTTGATTTCAGGTCTCTTTCTTTGCTTACGTTAAAACTGAAGTATTTTGTGGTACAAATATTTCCGATGGCTGCAGTGATAGATTCCAAGAGTTGGGCACACGATTTATTGGTACGACATTTTGGTATGGTATCTCTTCCAGTGGAATTTCAAAATGTTTTATACCAACCGTACGGTACAGAACCACAAGTGATGGCATATTTTAACCAAAAAGAATTGAATAGGTTAAATCTTTGAACGGATTTTTTCTCTTTCGTTTTGACTTGACTCAATAAGCTTTTATACGTAGGGATTTGTACATGTGTTAACCGAATGGAGTCATCTCCTAAATCCACAATCTGGATTGATTAAGTTTCAACTATCATCAGGGTTATCGCTTTATGTAATAGGGCTCGGGTGATATCGGACTGTAGTACTTTACGTACTTTGTAGGATAAAGCATTTAATCTGACCAGTTAATCGATCGGAACAGTGGGATCATAAATCAGGCATAAGTCATCGATATTGACGAAATTTTAACATTTCTAGGTATAGTGATTGATTGGTTTTATAATAGTTGAATGGATGTGATATTACCATTACCTTCATTATCACCTGTATTTATTGGGAATTCGCAGTTGAAGTTGGTAATAATACCAGTTGTAATGATTGTCATTTTTATCCTTCGTTTCAGGATTTATATTCTCGTTCATGGAGAACTAAATTGCATCGATATATCTGCAATAATTGCAAAATTCTCAAAAACGATTAAAGTAATTATTACCCTTAATTGCTTACTGCTCAGTTCTTCATTGAACAAAAAGATTTGGTTTTCGGAAGATTTTCGTTGAGAGACATTATGGACTAATTATTTCTGTTCTTAATGATGATTTAGTTCATGGAACGGGAATATTGAAAATAATGGCATATGAGAAAAATTTGGAAGGTTATCTGTTTCTAGACTTATGTTCTATTTTTAGGCTTAGAGTCTTTTTCTTGCATTCTTCTGATATGAGTAGCTTCTCTGATAAGTATCAACCTTTCCTGACAATGTATGTCCTGTTTTTTGATTACAATAATATATTTCTTCAGCAGCATTATCTTCGTGATTTGCTGTGCGATAGCTATTACTGTTTGAGGACATCTTGTCTATATTGTTTGCCTGGGGTTGCGATATATCCTTCCTGACAACGATATGTTTTTTTCATTTGAAAAGAAGGGATATTTACTAGTGATTTCTTCCCGACAGTGTTGCCTAGATGTGTTTGACTTCAACACGTGAATGTTAAGTGTCACAAAACGGTTGACAGATGTATGACATTTTTATGTCTGTTGTTCACTGTGACTTCAAACTTATTGTCAATATTGCGCAATTGTCTGTGATATTATAATGGTCGGGGAAAAATTGTGTTCAGTATACTTTTCCGTCTTTTCTCCTAACGTTTAAGATTTAATGTTAAGGGAAAATTAGCTCGAAGTGACCAGTTTATATGGGGTTGTTTCAGGGTCGATCAGATAAAGAAGATTACTTTGTTGAGAATTCTGAAATAATATGATCATTCATATGGACTGGTTTTCATTGAGTTAATATTAAGTCCCCGACTCAACCAAGATTGTTCGCTACAGCCAACTGTTAGGATGGTTGGGATGGACTTTGATTGAAATCTTAGGATTTTCAATTTTTATTTTCAGAAACGTGAGCATTGAAATCGTCTTAGAATTTCTAACTTCTCAAGTTTCAGAAACACGGGCTTGAAGATAGTAGAACACTAACGCATTCATGCAAAGGTACGTGGTCAACGTTAACTGATGTAGAACGTAAGAAGCAACAAAAAGGTAAGCCATCTGCTGTTAGAGTACACAGGTGACAACTCTTATGCTTTATTGTGATAGGCTTAGAGCTTCTTATAAGTTTTAAATTCCGTAATAATTGGGACCAAATGGTGTTTTATGCTGGTATGAATATTTCGCTGGTAGGACAATATTTTCGGTAGGTATGTTAGGTAAGACAGGGAATTAGATTTCTATGTTTTAGTTGGATATTTTAGCATTCGGGAAAGGAGGAAGGAATTGGCATCATCAAAAAACTAGGGTTAATCGGAAATGTATCGTCTGGTGGAGTTGAGTTAAAGGTTTTGTCGTTGTTTATCGATTATAGAGGTCAGGAGGGTGTATGTTTAGGTCAAAGAAGCATGACAAGGGGGTCTATCTCGTTCTTATACTGTAGCTATGCGTGTTTCGTTATTTATTATTTATTTTTTATTCATAAAAGTCGTAAATTATCCGCTTACCCTCACCAATCATCTAAACAAAGGGAAAAAAGATGAGGTTAAATTTATTTTTAACGAACGGTGCTAAGCAAAATCGGCAGAGGCTATTAAGAAAGGAAACAATTAAGTTTTTGGGGAAGTTTTTTCTATTTCCATTTGGCAGTCATAAGATAGCTAACTGATAACGTATTCAAATTTTCAATTTCAAGATTTCCTGTAGGATCAACCAATATGCTTCGTATAGCCTGTTTTTGGGGAGGAGGTAGTAAATAACTGTACCTGTGTTTTCTGATACAGTACTGGAATGACCGATAGGAAGGTTTTGATAAAGATTTGTGGTGCTTCCAGTTAGACTTTGTCCTTGGTTTATTATCCCAATGTGTTTTAACAGATTCACCTGATCATTCAATAGAGCATATTTCCGAAAGATAAAAGTGATAAGAAGTAAGGATGTATATTATATTTCCATGCCATAATGGTATGTGGAAGTTCCAGACGAAGGTCATAGTGCTGTTATACTTCATTAGTGAAGCATTATTCTCATCCTTCTCTAATTATAAGTTCATATCGCTCACCGGAATATTGGTACTGTTGGGTTTTAATTAGGCTACTCCATTACTGTTAACAATTAATTGTTTCCGCACTTTCACTCCAGAACGTCGCAAGGAGGAAGCGTACAAAACGTCATTGTGTGGAGAATTCCGAAAAACTAAAAAATGTGGGTATGGAGAACGTTGCACTTTTGCGCATGGTGAGGAAGAACTTCGTCCTCCACCGAAGGTGAGATATATAAATATTCAGGGAGGAAAGGGAAATGTTTTAATTGCACGGAACACCCTGATAGGACACAGGAAGTTTTGGAGTTAACGCTGGATCAAGCATGACATCTGTGGTATATATGGTAAGCTCAAGATTATATGATTTTACCTTATAGCATATTAATAGGGAATTTGTAATGTGCTGCAGCAGTGCTGTAAGATGCTAAACAGACATTTTGTCTTGCAGGCTCATCCGAAATACAAAACTCAACTATGTAAAAATTTTATTAGGGATAATTACTGTCCCTATGGTGACCGTTGCATGTATATTCATGAACGTTGCAATGGAAGTGTGGGATTCACTGATGTGGTGCGTAGTTTGTGCTTTTAATTATTTAGCCATGATTTTGATTCTGTTCCATATGCTTTGGATAATTTAGGTGAATTCAATCATGCATTAAATCAGTCAACTAAATATTCAATTACTCCACTTAGTAAATATTCGATCGTGGTAAAATCATATCAAAATTGCAGATGAAAATAGATGGCCCGGAAAATGCCGAAAACAATTCCTCACATGTGGATAGCTTTAGTGTGGGACAAGTGAATGGAAGGTGGTTATTGATCATTATAGTTGGAATTTCTCAGCATTTTACTTTTCTCAGAGTAACGTTTTTCCGTATGCAGTGCATGCGATGTCTATCCATACGCATATATATAATGACATCTTTTTTAGTATCAGGTGCATGAGCTCACCGGTCACCCGCGATAAATGTCCATTATATGCAGGAAAAGGTGACTTTTGCCACTCTTTAACGAGCACGGGTTTCAATAGAGCAGGAAATATAGGATATTTCGCAGAGGTGGGTTTGGTCGATAATTTGATGTAACAGCATTCTATGTTAAAACGTTAACCAAGAGAAACTTGAGGTCGTTGATATATGTAAAGGATAATTACTTTAGAATAGTTAGCAAATATCTAGTTCTGAATTATCTACTGTTAACTTCTTTAGAACCCGTCGTAGTAAGGTGTCATTTTTAGACGGTCAGCAATCAAAATGCTGAAAATAATGCATATGGAAATCAACCACTTGGTTATATAAACCCCGTTGGAAGTAACAGCATTTTTGATCAACTCAATCCGGTTGATTATGACCGTCTACTCTTGCAACTCAGTAATATGTTAGTCTAAGCGTTTTGTTTATACAGGAATCTTTCCAGAATTGTAGTTCTATTTGATTGTTTCTACCTCTGATACTGTCTCCAGTAGGAGGAGGTCTTCTTGATATTCTTTAATATGTGACATAAGGGTTTATGTTTGTGTTGTTTAATGGAAGAGTATTATTGTTTGGGATGTGATATTAATTTCTGCAGATATCATAAAAAAGACTAAAGTTTTGTAATATATGCCTAGAACGAGATTCAAAGGCAAAAGGAAGAAAGATTAAATTGCTACAGGATAATGGTTGATAATAACAATATGTTCTCGCAGTCTTTCTGAAGAAGTGATTATTCGGATGACGTAAAACATGCATCTTATCCAGGATATCAAACTTATCCAAATATTTCCTTCCTTGGAACGATATGTTATAAGATATAGAGATATAAGATGTGTAGTTATAAGATATAAAGCTATTGTAGATCATATGTCAACATTGCTGTTGTACTATTGGTTTTTATTAAAACTGCATATTTTATGAGCGAAACTCTATGGTATTATTGCACTGTTTCAGTTTGCTTGTTAAGTTCTTGTTATTCTTTATTTTGTTGGTTGGAAATTGTATGTTCAAAGTTAAAATATCATGTAAATGCTACCTTATTATTTTCAAAGTTAAAATATCATGTGAATGCTACCTTATTCTTTGTCATTTCCTTTTATTTTTAATTTAGGGATTTGGCTGATGAATATTACGTGCTGCACCATCTTACATGTTATGGCTTTGCATTGTATAAAATGCTTGCATTTATGTTTCTGTTTTTCCTTTGATCAATTTTAAAATGATTAATGCTATCGTAAACACTGTTTTACAGTAAAAACTTTTGCGGTTGTCTCCTGAGTATTTCGGGGAAATATGTTTCAAAACATCTCAGTAAAACAGTAATTATTGAAGCATGATGCAGTTTAGTACTTCCATGTTAATAATCACCGGAAGATTAGGTTTATATAGGCGTAATGGATTTTTGGGCAGAGTATTAGTTGGGGGTTTGTTGTCTTGTTCCTGTGCTGCATCTTAATTTTCTCTTTTTGAAGTTATTTTGTTGTTGCAGATAAAACATCTCTTAATCTCTAATCTGATAGGGACGCTGCGAATAGTAAGTGTCAACATCGTCGTTTGCTGGTATGTTCCAAGTCTTTGGCAATCGATTCATCGTTAGACGCTTAGTGCGGGGGCCCATCCATCTGGCAATCAAAAGAATTGGTTATTGTGGTGTCGCGACCACAAGAGGGTTCCATCATCCATTTTTAAATAAATTAGCGAAACCTTGAACTTTTTAATATTTAAGGGAAGGAATGTATACGGGAAGGAGGTTGGAAATCTTTACTGTGAAGTAAGAGGAATAGCTGAGAATATGGAAAAGAAAATTGATGGAGTGCGAGAGATGGGACGTTTAAAAACGCTTAACCAATTAGTGATATTAAAAAATCATGACTGAATAACAATTTGTATTTCCCCTTTTGAGATGGAGAAAGATATTCACTCGTTAATTCCGCTCGTTAATTAAAACCAGGCGAAAAAGACTAATTATATTTCAGATGTGACTGTGTTATGACCAGACAGATTTCGCATAATTTTCATTTAAACAGCAGTTTGCTGAATCAGCAGAACTACGGAGTATGCGAACTATCAAAATGCGAATTGATGAATAAATAAAATCAAATAAAAAATAAGGTCACAGTGGTTCCACACGGTGGCATTCGTGCTCTGATACCAGTTTAGATGTCCGATCCAGTTATTGCTGTCTGAAAATTATTAGAACAGATGAAGGATTTGATAATTGCGAACTTGAAAAATACAAGTTGTGTAATTTGAAGTAAATTCGCTCTTTTAAAAATCTACGGAGGTTGTCGTATTTGAAGATTTCAGGCATTCATCCCACTCAGAAAAACCATTTCGTCCTTAACAAACGCGCTTAACTCATCATCATTAGCCCTGTTGTGTTGTCAGTCCTATTACTCAAATGCATCACCAAGCATATACTGAACTCCAGCGCTAACCACAATTCAAACCCCACAGTGGAACCTTGCTATGGGAAATCCCCATGACACGAAATGACATTGAAAGATTAAAGGTAAACTTATACAACAAGTTGCAATCTAACCTTGTTATAATTTGCATTAGGAATCGATTATATTTGTATGAAATATGTTTATTTTTAATTTTAATTCTTTGTGTTCTACAATACATTTCTGATGGTATCTAAACTGGTATCACGGCACGGATGCGATTGAGTGACCAATCATTTTTCAGTTTATCATACTTTGATTTCTGTTGGTGAAGCCTAAAAAATGTTGTTTTAATTAGAATTCAGGATATTCTCAAGTAAATGATTCATTACACGAAATTAATAAATCCGATAGCTAAAGTAGATAAATCATTTATCCAAATCCAACTCCCAATTTTCTAATCAATTTTAACTGCAACGTTTAGGTGTCGCAGACAGTCCTTTGTTGTAAACTTTTTCCATTCTGTCAATCAAGCTTACAGTTGTCCGAATGTCGTGAAGAACTTATGTGTAGATATCGAAATTTTTTAAAGAGCCTCTAGGCCGGCAGTTAAACCAGTGTGTCTGGTATGTTAAACCACTCGCACTGTAAAAGAGGCTAGGATTAATCATCTGGACGAGCAGTTACAAAATCCAAAAAGCTCGAGCACCGACCGCTCCGCTTCCGCAGTTACTCATTCCGACATCTGCGGTTTCGCAATCCGACAACTCGCTGAGTTCACTCAGGCATTCAAGGAGACAGCATAGTCAGACACTGAACCACAACAACGGTTCAACGGCAGAAAGGCGGCAATATGACAGTTCAATAGCACGAGCGACAACACCGTTTGGTATCCTTTAATACTTATTGTGTACTATTCATTTCGTCCCCATCACTGTTTCAGTACGATATTGTATCATATCGTATAAGACCAATAAAGGTTACTATTAACATTGCGGAGTTAATAACAACAAAAATAAACCTACGAAATCTTCGACAATTTCAGTTTTTATATTTTGTACTTTTAGAATTTGATTATTCGAAAAAAAAAGTTGTCCGAAATCGTTTGATCATCTGAAGTGTACTAATAGTTGTTGTTTTTCGACTGGAAGAGGTTTATAAACCTTCAAAATTCTTTTAAATTTGTTAAATATTTGAAACTTACGTAACTTTAACTAAATTTTTCTCCTAAATTATACACAATATGAAATACTTTATTTCAGGACGAGAGAACTACATCTTTCCTTAAATTATTTAGATTAATTGCTACACGACTTCTTCCCTCTTCCGGTTTCCATAACCCGACTTTAGGACACATTGTCTAAATAAATACAATTATTGTAGTACTCGCTAATTTCACTTACTAGTTTGCGTAAAAATCTTTTGTCGAAAAGCGTAATATTACCCAAATATGGAAACATATTTAAAATTCCTTGCAATTTCCGTCCTCCTCATACTTCTTTCTATGGTTCTCGTAATTGGATGCTTGACGAATTACTGAAAAAACTTGGTTTTACTAATGAAACACTGATCAAGTTCTTGACATTCATTAGGTATGTATCTTACAGTAAAAATCTAACTTAATTATTTGTATATTTACAAATGATGTACTTTGATAGGGGGACTTTGATAATGATGTACTTTGATAAAATTTTTATCGATTTATTCATTTGTTTTTCTTTTTTCAAGAACAGATGGGTGAGGAATTGAAAAATTTTGAGACAAAAATTCAAATGTAAAAATGGTTCTCATTTTATGATGCAAATATGACAAATATTGAAGTCGTGGTTTTATCATTTCTAAATAATTTCGCTTCCACTGACTATTATAGTAAGAACAGGTCTTTCCAGATCAATAAATAACCATTAATTTATTAATGTATGTTCGATTATTTCGATATTGTTTTGATCAACAGGTTTATTTATTGATAATTACTGATCATTTTCTGATCTCGTGTTGAATTGTAAACCTAATTTTAATTAATATGGTCATTTCGAGTGTGTTAGAACGATTCATTTATTTCTGCTTCATTTGTTTACATTGTTATTGATTTGTTTCGTAACGAGAAGTAATAATAGGTATGTGTGTGTGTGTGTGTGTGTGTGTCTGTGGCTGTATATGTGTGTGTGTGTGTG